ACATCACACCAGACCGCATCTCACGATTTCCGAATAATCATTGACTAACGGTCACTAATCACCACACATTATTTTCTATTTTTAATATCAATGCTAATAAAGCTACCGAAAAGCGAAATTGTGCGGTTTTTGAGATGACCAAAGTCATGACTAAACAGAACGATTTTCTTACGGCAAAATTTCCCCCAGTTTTGAAAACTTACATCAATTTTTTACAGTGTTATTATCCAGTATAAAATGGATTCTGTTGGAAATGCATTTAATGCGTGATATTAAGCATAAATAATTAGTCAATCAGGTTAATCTGGAATCGATATGGATGGAGAACTATTCCATACAACGACCTTGCACCGGTTGGTTAATTATTAAATTATTTTCCAAGTGGAATTAATTGCATGATTCAATTCCGTTCGTTAATTTAAAAATGGAAATTATTATCTTGCACTTTAACGTAAAACTGTTGATGAATGCATGGATATCTAAAACAATCTGATCCGTCACGCTTATGATGTACTAAAATAGAAACCCAGAAGATTACGTTTTGGTGTGTCTCCAAGAGTTTCTTTTTAGCTATGTTTAATATATAGTTCTTTCAGGTAGTTTCTAGGCTTTGTTGAGATAAGCAGGGAATCATTTTAAGCTGGTTTTAATTGAACGGTATGTCATCTTTTTTTCTAGTGGTCTTTACTCCATCCTTGTCAGAACGAGGAACTTAATTTTTAAAACTTCAAATTAATATTGGATATAAGGAGTTTCGATTGATTTTCCATTTCTCCGAGCCGTTCCGTATACAGTAGACCGAAGTGTGTAGAGTGCCTGTCAAGAAGTGGTCTCCGGAGTGTCAAGACAATAACGGTAGCTCTGTGTTAGAGGTAGATGTGGTAATTACCTCGATACGTCCCCGTGTGAGAGGGCTTGGACCACTTTCCAGGGGTGAAGTGCCTCTACACACCCTTCGGACCCTTTTGTCTTGTTCAGCAATTAGTCCTCTAGCACAATGCAACACGAAATCAATATGCACTCTTGGTCTTAGTTGGGGCCGGCCGTGCAATACGACACTACACGACTTATTAATAACAAGTTTTCACAATCTTACCCTGTACATATTTAGGAGTCGTAATTCATATTAACAATTTTGCTATTGATTGACATGTGATGTCCTTGCACTTTGGGTTGTTCCAGGCGGTCCATGTTTTTTAGATTTAATGCTTCATAAGACACTATAAAAGGAAGATAGGGAGATAGTGTGAGAAGGAAGGTCCCGCTTAAAGCAATACACGCCCAAGGGGTGAATTCCTCCAAATCAATTTTGATCGGATTTTTAATATAGCATAATCATTCAATAATTCTGCAGTGTTTCATCAAATTCTTTTGCTCGATTAGCAGGATGTGAGATAGAGGTAGGCCCTCACGAAGACCCGATAAGCCCCAGGGGAGAATTCCGCCCGGCTTATCTTCACAAAAATCATACGTTCATATTTGGCGAAAAAAAATTATTTGCTGTTTAGAAAAAAAAATTAAAATAAATATAATCAAAACTGACACTTCTGTAAAAAAAGTTTCATTCATCAAACATAAAGATGTAAAGAAAGACAATAGGTGAAAGTTTAAGTGTTAATCAAAGGAACGAATACTTATGATTCCGTATGGACAGAGGAAAAAACATAATGATTTGACATTGACCAGACAAAAAAAAGATACATCATATAACTTACGTTTTAGTAGTATTAACGAATTATGTATTTAAAATATATTCAAACATCACACGATGGAAGAAAGCTTTTCTACTTGAGAATCAAATTTTGCCATTAAAAAAAAAAAACGCGAGGTGCCGACTACAAAAATTTCTAATACATTGGTCGTCTATAGTCGAACAATTTGTACGTTTAAGATGGTCTTTGAAGTAAGTCACTCTTTTTGTAAGTCCTGGGTCAAGTCAGTACTAAGGAATCGTCTAACCCTACTCAATATGTAAGGAACATGCCGGTGGTTAAACAAATTTTCGATTTTTATGCAGGATGCATATTTTGAAGACGAATAAATGGGTGTTGGCCGTTTTTGCCTTTTTCTTCCCTGCCAACAAATCTGTCCTGTTATAAAATTTGGACAAAGAAGACTCTTATTTCAATATAAATTCACCCAGCAAAAAAATCGACAAATGTCTCGACATGCAATTGAAACTTGAATATTTCGAATTCCCCTCCCCGGCCACTCTCTTATTCATTATTTTGATAACAACGTTAAATATTAAATGTCCTGTTCTATGGTACAAACAGGAATTCCTGGGCACAGCAGTTCGACAGATAGTAAAAACTGTCCATTTATAATCCAGATGAGATTTCCCTGTCTTCTGCAACCTAAGTACATCTGTTATAGATTGACATTACCTATTACTATGCCCATACCAAGGAAAGTACATTTTTTCTACACAATTTTCCTCGGTGTCTTCCGTATATGGCTATACCCATGTTTCTTGTCCAGGATTTTATGATGGTTTTCTATTAAGTACTGGATTTTTTTTTCACCATTACTGTTCATATGCCATCCTTTCCGTATGTGCACCGGCAACCTCAATGTCGCTTACATTACAAAGTAAAATTCAAGGAACTTAGACTAATTTAATTGGATTTATAGAACCTCTGTCTTTAAAACATCTATTTTGCTGATTGATTGAGAACGTTAATTATTACTTTTCAATTAATTAATCTTTAAGTAAGGTATTGGTTGAGATAAAAAAGTCAGTGTCTCGAGCGGGATTCGAACCCACGACCTTCGGCAAAATACGCCGCTGCTCTACCACTTGAGCTATCGTAACTTCGATCCATTCAGACACCAACTTCCCATCTTAACTCCACCTTTTGCATTTTCCCTCTTTTTTGCCATTTTTCAAGGGGGTAGAGGGTTAATTATTACATTAATCCATATATGTTTAGAGGTCATAATTGACCATATTAATTATGTCATTAATTATTCTTTTCATCTAAGGTCTTGGTTGAGACGAAAAAGTCGTTGTCATGAGCGGGATTCGAACCCATTTTTCATCTCAACCAAGTCTTAGATAAAAAAAAAAATAATTGAAATAATTAATATGGTCAATTATGACCGCTAATCATACATGGATTAGTATAATAACTAAAGAATCCTGATTGCACGACATTTGAAAAATGGCAAAAAGAGGTAAAATTGGAAAGGTTGTAAGTTGAGATAATCGGAGGTGTCCGAGTGAATCGAGGTCACGATAGCTCAGGTGATTAGAGCAGCGGCGTATCAGCCGAAGTTCGTGGGTTCGAATCCCTCTCGTGACACTGACTTCTTCATCTCATCCAAGACCTTAGGTAAAAAGAATTGTTAATTGAGTAAATTATTACGTTTAGAAAGTTCGGAGGTGAATAATTAAGCGTTTAAAACAAGTTAGGACGGGCACAATATAGTTGGGGCAGTATTTTCTGGGGTTGGTTCCCCACGGGACAACTTAACTTTGTTATTGGTGACAATGGGGGTGTCGCCCCCCGTCGGGTTCTTGGAAGCCCTGCCGTCATTGTCTGCTGCCCACAGAGCACAAGACAAATGTCGGGGGGTCCTTGAAAACCACCTGAGGAAGAGGCCCTTCAGTCAACAAGCCAAATGAAATTTTTCGTCATCATTGTCAACATTTTAGTTCCCTTTGTGTTTATTCCCGTTTCGACGCGTCATCTTTCAGTTCAATACCAACGATCGGATTTCGAAAATATCCAAATTGTGATTTTTGTCAGATGAGTTCGGTTAACCGGGGTTTTTCTTTTGACAAGCAAATGATTTAAGACAAGCTCAGTTTTTTTTTTCCAATCAAATCTGAATGTGTTAATTTGAAGAACATAAACAATGATGTCGGCCTCTTAACAGGAATCCGGTTTGAATAAATATTTGGACCCCTTGTCTACATTCTCCCGGGTCCAAAGAGTCACCAGGCAGGATAAATATTTCGCCTTGAACCTATAACTTACCGGAGAAAGAGCGATAGGGAAATTTAAAAAAATTAATCGCCTTTGAAGGATCATTTAATTATTAGCGCTCCGACAACGGCTTAATTCTGACTTCGTACACATTTCTTTGAAAATCCGATCCGCTTAAATTATCTATTTTTCTCAACAGTTTAACTTACGGTTTTTCCTTCTCGAAGGTGGGATAACAGGTCATCTAAAAAAAAACAACAACCAATTTTTCTTTCAATCCACAACGTTTCGGAATTATGTTAATCCTTCCTCAGGTGAGTTGAGGTACCACACTTGCTCTTTTTTAAAATAAACTGTTACAAAATATTAATGATTGACGTCCACTGTTTTAACCACTGCGTTAACTCACCTGAGGAAGGATTAAAATAAATCTGAAACGTGTGGATTGATTAGGGATGGTTAGGTAATAAATATTATAATAAATATATAATAAATATTTGCATAAATTGTGTTCCTCTCTTCTTATCGTTGTTAATCATCTTTTTTTTTTTTTTTTTTTTTTTTTGCGTGTCTTGTATATGGAAAACTACCCCACGACTAATTCTACAAAGGACCGATGAAATATATTCTTCTATTCCCTTGAATGTGGTTATGTATATGTATGCGTTTTTGAATGAGTAGGCTTTTTCTCCTTGAATATTTTTTTAGTTGATCGTCATAAGTTTAGACATTTTGCCTTATTAGGTTTATAATTTGTCTTGTGCACTTGCAATAAACGACTTACTCATTCGATGACTTAAATATGGCATCATGGTATAATTTGTGATGATTGGGTAATGTTTTTAATTACAACTGACTGTGTGGCATAATGAGTCAATTAGATAATAAATAAGCTGCAATTGATGCTACGAAAACAAACAAGATCGTTTACATCTAAGACTTGAATGTAGTGTTAGACTGATAGATTATTTGTCTGTGTTTAGTTACTTATTTTTATTTATCTATTATTTATTTTGTGGCATTTATTGAAAACTTGATTGTTTTACTAATTTTTCTGTATTGTTTCAGGTAAGTTTTGATTTTGAATGAGCTACTTCTGTAAGTTATTTTATCTTATTTTTCGCTTTTTTTATATTTTCTTTTCCTTTTAATTTATCAGTCGTTCGGTTTACAAGCAGTAGAACATTATTCGTTCGTCTTTTACATGGGATGGAGCCGGAATGCGTTTATATAAGGCCACTTTAATATAGGCCCTCGCGATCCCCCTCATCCCAAACTGCTTCGTCATTACAGACCCGTTTCTTTTTCTTCTTTTTTACTGGGATAAATTTTTTATAACTATGCCCCTTCTCTAACTATGACCAGTTTCCCTTGTGTGCTTTACAGTACTAATGACTCCCGGCCGGACGGAAGCTTCAAAACGAAGATTTTTTAAAATTTTTGTTGTCAATATAATTAATTTGAAACTGTACATTAAGAGATAGGGGTTTTTTATGTACTGTCGAGGAATCTCATTGAATTTGTACTTAATGTTTAAACGTCTCCCCAATACAAATAAAGTGTTTCGGAAATGAAAAAAACTTGTGTTCATCTTGGGTTCGGTGTTTGACCACCCAAGGGATGTGGCAAAAACCTTTTCTGGGATGCAACCGCAGGGGTCCACCCTTTTCTCAGAACTACTAATGGCCCTCTCACGTCCGAACTGACTTACTCCCCAAGGGTGTTTTGTGACCCTATGGGAAAAGGAATGGAGACGGTAATTCACCCACACCTGTGTATAAGTCACCGCGGACGACAAAAGCCGTGGAATCCTGTAAAGGCGTGTAAAGGGTGTATTGTCAAAAGTGATTCTCCACCTCTTTCTTTGTGTACATCCACATCAAACAAGCACCTGTAAAACAAACTTAGTATGTTTGTTTTGTTTTTAATTTTTTGTTTAAGCAATATCTCTAGGATTTTTATTACCTTTTCAATTTCGATACATTGACGTTTCATCGCGCCAGAGGGTGGGTCGTTATTAACCTGTTAAATATTGAAAAAAAAATTAGTAAGCTATAAATTTATTCTTACTGCAATAATTAACTTGGATTATGTAATTATCACCCTTAAAGAAAAGACAAGACGACGAGCACAGACAATTTCTCATTTTTTTTTAATCCTTTTTTTCAATCATAAGATTAATTTAATTAAAATCATTATGATTATTTGGAGATCAAGAGTGCGGTTTGGAGTGACGTAGGTTTCAGAAAAATATTTTCTTTATCAAGCCAACGTTTCGATCTTTTTGAGATCATCTTCAGGGCGTGGGATTTATAAATATTGTTTGAATTTTATAAATACATGTAGGATGTGGAAAGAAAAGAAATGTGGTTGGGGGGATGGTTTCTTTCTATATCCTACATGTATTTGTAAAATTCAAACAATATTTATAAAGCGCAGGCTCTGAAGATGATCTCAATAAAGATCGAAACGTTGGCATGATAAAGAAAATGTTTTTCTAACACCTACGTCACACCTGACCGCATCTCACGATCTCCAAATAATCATTGGCTAACCGTCACTAAACACCACACATAAAATCATTATGAAGCTCGTCATAAGACGTGATCGTTATATCTAAAAAATTTGTATTACAAACTTCTATAAATGTATTTTTTTTTTAATATATCAAAGGCAGGTTTGCATATTTCGCTTGGACATTTTTCTTAATAGAGTTAATTTCTTTGAAATTCACTTTTATTCATGTACATAATTTAGCATTTACATGATTTTCAGCATGTAAATTGTAATTAGAATATGCAAATTCAAAGGGTAAACAGTTTTCCCAACACGATTAATTTAGGCCAGGAACTTTAATTTTAGGTTGAATTGTTATCAAAGAGAACCACCGTTTTAATATGGTAGTTAGTACTTTTGGTTTGAATTAAAAGCATACTTATGAAATTACAGCAGGTGGAGTTCAGTTACTCAATTGATCCCTATTGATCAACTTTCAGTCGTCAGTTATTGCAAGGCAAGAAGTGAAATTTTTCATTTGCAGTTAACTCGCGGAAATTACTGCAGAATTTTTTATTTCATAAAATAAAAATTATGGACTTGTATTAAAATACTTGAAAAAAAATGCAACATCCACATAATTTTAATTGCAGAGTAAAAAAGATTTTATCTTTAACTGACTGAAAAGTTCATTTTAAAGTTATTTCATTTTGTATTTAACAATATCTTAGAATTTACTCGTAGTAACAAGACAAAAATATGGGCAAAACTGTACCAATGTTCAATCAAGAAGGAATATTTAAAAAAAAGCTATTTTGGATGATCTTAAAGAAGAGAAGCATTAAACTTTTTTGTTAAGCTTTTATATCGGTGACCGCACGGTTTAGGCGGTGACACGGCGCTCATCACTGTAAGGTAAAGGTCCTGGGTTCGAATCCAGACCCTACATTCGAACCTGACGTACTTACATAATGACCTACCATAATGAGCTGTTTAAAATGTATTAAAAAAAAAAAAAACGGCACTTCGAGGAATCGTATAACCTCATAGTTGAAATACCCTCCTTTAAAAAACTAAAATTAAAAAAATTTCAATTCTGATGAAGTCAACAGGTCGATCTAGGATATTTTTTTCTGTCTAAAAACCAAGCGGATTCTTACGACTTGTTATCTGTAACGGTTTCAAAAAATGGAAAACGTAATTTTTTTGATGCAGGCAGATAGAGTGAGTATTTTTTGTGCTTCTTTATCCGTAGATTGTATTTTTTTCCCGTTCAAATGATGGTATAGTTTAAACTTTTTCTTGCTTCAACAATGGTGGAACGGGACTAGTGATGATCAGACTGTTGATGAAACAAATTGCAGACGCACTCCCACTGATGACATTAATTGGGCACAGGTCAACTTCAAAACCTGCATAGGTAGGCGGGCCAGAAATAATTTCACAATACCGTCGACGGTCGCCGGTTCCAAAGGAGAAAAACGTCGTGCCACGGTTTTTAACCGATTTGTAAACAGTCGTAAAATTTCCGCCCGTAGAAAAGGGCCCCAGTGTACAAGAGTGGACACGTGTTTGCCCGCCCTAAATTAGACCGGCCACGACAGATGGAAAGGTTTAAGAGACGAACCTCCCACGTGTTCCTTGTTATAATAAAAGTCCGCTTCGCTCAGACGAGGGTCAGCGCTCTGCCCGGTTGTGACTACTTCATATGTTACCCAGCCAGGCGATTCCCGATATGGAAAAGGGGAATAGGGACGAGGAATGCCGTCCCAGTGATCGCCACTTCTTACTAACCCTTTCCTCCGCAAAAAATGCGTCAGGGCTGTCAAACAAGACGAGAGCAATTTTCGTTTATTCTACGCCTGTTTCTTTCCTTCCTTCCTCTGACCAGAATGAACCTTATTTTGATTTGTCTTCTTATTTATACATCTACAAATAGATACTTGATTAGCTTTTCTTACCCCGTTTGAAGAACAACAGCGCCAGAGCCTCAACATTAAGTACTATTCATTATATTTAGTCCATTAGATTTCGTGGTCCAATTGAACAATAACTAATTTCAATTATTTAATCTTTATATAAGGTATTGGTTGAAATGAAAAAGCTAGCGTCACGAGCGGGACTCGAACCCACGACCTTCGGCTAGATACGCCGCTGCTCTACCATGTAAGCAATCAAGCAATCTCGTGACTTCGATCTTCTCGGATACCAACATGCCATCTTAACTCCATCTTTTGAATTTTCCTCCTTTTTGCCATTTTTTGAGAATCGAATAGATTACAGGACATTTTAAAAATGACTAAAAGGAGGAAATTCTAAACGTAGTTTTGATGGGATGTTGGTATCGTAGTGGATCGAAGTCAGGATAGCTCAAGTGTAAAGCAGCGGCGTATTTAAGCGAAGGTCATGGGTTCGAATCCCGCTCGTGACACTGACTTTTTTTATTTCAACCAATACCTCACATAAAAATTAATTATATTTAGTGATCTATTGAAGAAATTACTTCTTTCCGTTAATTAATCTTTTTATGTAGGTTTTGGTTAAAATGAAAAAGCCAGTGTCACGAGCGGGATTCGAACCACCCAGCCGAAGATCGTGGGTTCGATTCCCGCTCGTGTCACTGGCTTTTTCATTTCTGCCAAAACTTAACATAAACAGATTTAATTAAGTACTATTTAATCCATAGTGGTCATAATTATAAATTATTCCAATTAATTATTCTTTTATCTAAGGTTTTTCATTTCAATCAAAAAAGTTTAGGTAGAAAGATTAATAAATTGGAATAATTAATTACTATTTAATTTTTTTAACGCTTATATGGTCGTTTTGGTAGGAGCTTGTTTATTTTATGAGAAATTATGAACCGTCATTCTCATCTGGTCAAACCTCACTGTTTTGCTTTTATGGAGGATATGCTGTTTATTCGTTTGATCATTTCGCTCAAAAACTGCGAGGATAGGCAGGCTAAAATTATCTGAACGTCTAACCTTAAGGTCCATCAGCTTCAGGTTATTTTAGAAATTAGACAGATTTAATTTTACTAGAAATACAAGGATCGATGTTGGGGCACCACCCCTTTTTCTTAAGGACAGCATGTAAAAATACAGCTTTCTGCTCGTATTAGTGTAAAATACAGAAGAAACCATAAATTACATTCCAAAAATTTAATTAACGACAGACGTTTTTATTTAAAATGGTATAAATCATTTGTAAATACCTGGCCAGGGGAAATAAACCATAAGGATTCTTTCTAAATTTGTAATCTTTAAATGAATTTTTTGTATTGCCTAGTCGGATTACTGCAATAGTTTACTGAGTTTCGAGTTTATAATTAACTGCCTAAAATTTTGTAAAATACAGTCTTTTTTTACCTGCCTAGTTAAGCAATATTGTCTTGTCATTGTATGAAATACGGTAGGTTCTCATTATCCGCGTTTTCTCTCATCCGTTGCCCCTTTCTAGTTTTTAAACCTTAAATTTAATTTATCTTTTTGATAAATTTTATCTTTTTTAGGACCCTGTTATTATTTTTTTAATTTGTTTCGTTGTGAAGAAGCATTGTGACATATGGAATAAACTTTATAAATCTTACC